GTTTGGTGGAGTTCATGTTAGTCAAAAGTTCTAGAGTCTACACGCGCACTTCCCCTTTTGCTCATAAATCTTACTCTTCAGTCTCACATAGAACACAACTTGCTTGGTCCTACTTGCTAACCTTCGTCTATTATAAGAACAAGGGGAAGTCCATCCCATCTATTTGTACGGTGGATTTTTTTTTTTTTTAAAAGAAGTAACTTGTAAATGATAAACTGTAAAATTGAGGGCCAATATCCTAATTTAACAAGATAAAATGTTTTTTTTCTTCCTTTTAATTTATTCAATCCATATTTATTTAGGAGGTAGTGCTTTACTTCTCTAAATAAAAGTAGAAAATGATATAAGTGGTTTGTTATAGAAGTGGTAATTTGGTGTCAATAACCTAAATAATTTAATGAAAATCTTTTTTTGTTGTAAATAAAAATATTTGATTTTAACTTATATAACATGTAAGTGAAATAAAATGAGAAATGAGAGTAAAATAAAGAATGAGAATTTGTTATTTTTTATTGTACAATTAAAATAAAAAAAATAGTAATTTGGTATATACAATTTTTTTCTACTATTGTAATTTTTTTTTAACACAGAAAATTTTAAGAGAATAGGAAATTTTTTTCAAGTAATTAATAAAAATAAAACTTTCAATATACTTGAAACTAAGTTTTCAGATTTGATTGATGAACTAATTAGTTGATGAATTGATTTTTATTGAAATTTATAATTTGATAGTACACGTTAGGGAATAATAATTCCACGGGATTTATGTCATGGAAAGTGAACTTATTGTTTTTCTTACTTTGAAAGCATAATTGCCCAAAAATTCAACTTAGTGCTAGTAATTTGCTAGGGGTAGGGCTTTGAATCGTCATTGATTCGAAAGTCCTTAACAAATAGCTTTGACTTGGAGTTTATTTTGGTTCGCAGATTTCAAGAACCTTGTTTGACTCCTCGAGCATAAACTTTGGCTTTGTGATATTGGATTCCAAAGCTAGTGGACAAATTCAAGATGCCTTAATTCAATTTTTAATTTATTAATTATAAGCTTAATTTTATTTTAGTTTAAAATTTTTATTTTTTTTAAATAGTCTATAACTTTAGAAATATTTTAAAATAGTCTATCAATACATTTTTTTTAAGATTTAACACTATAATCATAATAAAATATAATGACTCAATAAATATTTTATAGAAATAAATTACTTAAAATTTGTATTAAATTTGAGCAACTAGTCTATTTTACATGGTAAATTATATGTAATCTGTCATGAAAAATTATTTAAATGTTATTGAAAAAATAATATAAAAATAAAATTAAGGGCATTTAAATAATTTTACAAGATAAACTACATACAGTTCACCCTGTAAAACTATTTTTTAAAAAACACATTTAGCAAGATAAAATTAAAACTATTTTTAAGGTGAATATAAATTTAAGGGCTAAAATATCAAAA